AGAGAGAGAGAGAGAGAGAGAGAGAGAGAGTAAAACTTGTGTCAACTTAAGTGGACGTCTACTAAGTTTCTTAGTCATTGATGATCACTTGATTGACATACATTGTGGATGATCCGCTCCGTTGAACTTGATCTACATATTCTAAAACCCCAACACACCAAATTTGGGGTGAACCCGTCGTGGTTTGACACTCCGTCAAGCCATGTAAAAGGTTCTATTTATTCAAAACCGTTAAAATTGATACGAGTGGATGAAGGGTCAAACCACGACGGGTTCACCCTAAATTTGGTGTGTTGAGGTTTTAGAATATGTAGATCAAGTTCAACGGAGCGGATCATCCACAATATCGAGCCAAGACTTTTTCATTTCTATTTTATTTACTCATTCTTCCACGTGTTTTACTCCCATCTTTGTCCTGCTTTCCTATTCCTTCATCACCTCCTCATTAAATTCAACAAATTCATATTTAGAAAATTTCCCTATTCAAATATTAAATATTAGATAATCCTAATCAAAGTATAATTTGTTGGATTTTTTTGGTCAAAACGGCTTTACAAAATGAGTTTTCAAACTATATATATATTAACTACAAGTACTTTTCATAAATGCTTAGTAGCCTAGTGAAAAGTTAAAGTTTTGATGTTTCAAAAGGTCCTCTATTCGAGGCTTGCTAACGGCAAGCTGAGAAGTGTTTTATTTTAATTAATCCCTCATAAGTTCTCGTGGGTCGTGGGCCGGGGATCAGGGCTAATCGGGTTGAGGCGCTAAGTGGCGTTTTGTTAGGCGCACTTCGCACGGATGCATCAGGGCAAGGTGACGCTCTTTAGCGTCACGTTAGCTGCCACGAAGGTTGCCTCGCAAACTGCTTCGCAACATGCAGACGAGCTACGCATTTGCACGAGGGTGTGACCCTAGTGTTCTCACAATCATATGAGGTTCGCCTATTTGAGGAGGTTCGCTCGTTCGACGAGGTTCACCTGTTTGACGAGGTTCGCCTGTTCGACGAGGTTCGCCCGTTTGACGAGGTTCGCCCGTTTGACGAGATTCGTCCTACATACGATGTTCGTCTAATTTGCTGAGATGTGACCCTCGCGTTTCGTAGTAACGCGTTCATTGATCACCTCGTATTCAGGAGTTACTACATGCAGTAGTACAACAACATTTACATTAATTTAATGGATTGTTGTTACAATCATAATTGTCATTATGATTTGTAACAACCACATTAATTGAGGGTGACTCTTGAGCTAGCCTTAGAGGCTTATAAATAGCGCCCCTTGGGCAGCTCTTGGTACGAACTTGAAATACGAACGTCGGATCGAGGATATCTTGACGTTGTTACTGTTGTGCTGCTACTGCAGAAACTGTGTCCATAGGAACTTATCCTGAAACCGAAAGGTTTTGAACCGAAAGGTTCTGAGATCGATGATATTTTTGCATTGACCGAAATGTCTTATAGATCGAGGAGATCTTAACAGTACTAGGTTAGTGCACACCAGAATACTGTACTGCTGTTCCTGGAAGCAGTTTGGCCTTGGGATCCTTGCACCGGAGTAGGCCAAATATTGTTTTAAGCATAACATTTCACAAACGCACATCAGCGAATTGAAAAAGTTTAAAATTACAACACATCAAAAATTCTCTGTATTATTCCAGATTTAACCACAATTTCCAAGAGATGTGAGTTGCGACTACACGTGGACATAACTGCATTTGTTACCATACCACCCTCTAACCAAACACACCCTTAAATTGAAAATTAACATCAAATTGGAAGAGATGATATGGACAATAGTACAAACAGGAGTGAGGACATAGGGGACCAAGTAGGCTTGGGCTGCGTGGTTGGTAGGAGTTAATTATGAGCTCGGCGTTAGTGTGTAATTATTTTGTTGTTCTCGAGCAAATAGATGAAAGGGCTCTTCACCTGTCGAGTTTGGCGGTGCGGCTCAAAATAAATAGCGTGGCAAAGATAATTCGTTGTAATATTGCCATGTGGAATTTAAAGTTGTTAATAGTTATAGAAGTGTAGGAAATGAAATCGCTTGAAATATTGACACGTGGCAAAGAATGGACCTAGAGGTTATTGGCTCTTTTTTAAAATGGCTAAAATACGCATTTCCAATGGATTTTAAGTAACTGTAGAGTATTTTAAATAGCTCCGGTTACAATAAGATTTTATAATTATTCAAAAGAAACAACAATTCCTATAATTTTCATCGGAAATCAATTTTTTCGGCCAAGTTACCTCACATGCTTGTTGTGTGATCACTGTGGACCGAGTTGGATAGTAAGGAATGACATGCTATAATGGTTGGAGGGAGAAATAACTATGCCTAAAATCTCATCATCCCCAAATTAGCGAAATTCACTTTTTTTTTTCAAAACTTGAACGAGAGAGGGAGAGAGGGAGCAGTTGGAGGAAAGTTTTTGCAATGATCTCTTTGATCTTGAATGTGACTTGAGAGAAGAAAGAATCTCTAGTGAGGATGACCACTTGAGTACGACGTCGACTAGGAGCAAATGTGAGTCTCCTCTCAAACTTTTGAGAGATTTCTATGTGGGTTTGGTTTTTTGGAGAAGGATGATTAATATGGTGTTTATCCTCAATTAATTGAATGATAAACTCTAATTTGGGTGTTGTTTGGTGGAATTTTGCAAACTAGGGGCAAGTCCCTGCCACATCAACAAGAGAATAAATAATTTTACAAATCACATGCAAGCATGTGAGGATGTCGGCCGGAAAATTGATCTCCGATGAAAGTTATGGGCCTTGTCGTTTCTTTTGAATAATTATAAGGTATTATTATAGCCGGAGCTATTTAAAATACTCTATTGTCATTTAGGGTCCATTTAAAATGTCAATATTGTTGTGCGTAGCGGAACTCGAATCACACGGAAGTGCACGAACAAGAACGAGATAAATCACAACCACACTAGCAAAACACAATCACCATAGCAAGACAAACAAATTTTACGTGGTTCGGCTAGTTGCCTACGTTCACGGGTAAAGGAGGGGGGAGTTCTTACTATTAGAAATCAAGAGAATACAAATAGGGTTATAAATCTCGCCAATAAACCCTAGAACAAAACTCTCCAGATCTCTCACAAATCCTCTCACAATTGATGCACAATCCTCTCTCAAAAGTCTGCTCAAATCGTCCTTGCTTAACCCTAATTAATCAGGTTTAAGGTTATATACCAACAGTAAACGAAACGGGTTAAAACCCAACACTCAACTGCAAACCCGACTGGCGGTTGACCGCCAAAATCACCACGGTCGACCGCCCAACAATCAACAGAACCCAGAAAGTTACAGGGTTTGCTCCGGTCGACCGTCACAGTTGACCGAAATCAATTCCAGAGAAGAAATCGATTACAGGGTTGTCACGATCGACTGTGACGGTCGACTGCGACGGTCGACCGTTTCATCTCCAGAACTCAGCTCAGACTTTGTGCACGTTTCCGGTCGACCGCATCTGACTCATAGTCGACCGACCAGCTTCTTGAATATTTTCCTGTTGATTTTCTGAACAGTTCTTCGCCGTGTTCGTCATTTCTATAAATATGATATTTTAGCCTTTTTGGAAATATACTATAAATTCTTGATCTTTGTGTGACCATTTTCTTAAGCATTTTAAATTTAATATTGCCGAATATATCAAGATTGGACGCTCAAATTTTGAACACCTCATACTTGGGAGAACTAGCTTCACGCCTCGTAAGTTCCAAGCAAGAGGATTTTTAAGAAATCATGAAGAACTTTTATTTATATATCATTTCAAAACCTAATTTATTATTATTTTTGAATTATGATAATTTTGTACGTAGTTATATTAATTAGGTTTTGAAAAATAATCAACAACTCCTGGTGATCTATTTGAAGATTAGCATAATTAGCTTTTGTACGTAGTTATATTAAATATCATTTTTATTTTTATTTTTTTCAATATATACAAATGGCAATTCGGATCAAATAACTCTGCTACTACATTAGAAATCTGAAATTACGATGGGAGGCAAGGGTTAAAATTTTTATACTCTTCATCAATTAAATAGCAGATCGATCATCATTCATTATTAAAATTAAGTATCATTACTATATATCTTTCTAGTATTTGAAAAAAAAATGATAGAGACACACCCTCTACCACACCTCCAACCACACTCCCCCTCTCCCATTTGCTACAGTACCGCAGGCCCCACATGGGATTTTAAAATTTTAAAATCCCATGTGGGGCCTGCGGTACTGTAACAAATGGGAGAGGAGGGTGTAGTTGGAGATGTGGCAGAGGGTGTGCCTCTAACACCACTCATTTGAAAAAGAAGAGAGGCAGCACCTATCCTTTTCTCGAAGAAAAAGCATGGTAACTTATCCGATTCTTTATTAAGACCTCCAAAATGTGCAATGTATCTGATCAACAATAATATTTTCCTCCGTATCCAACCATACAAGAACACTGAATGCTATACTGTCGCTTCGTGCACCCAATCAAGCCGCGCCACGTCAGCCAGTCACATGACGGTGTCGGAATAATTACGGTCCCTTTAATGCCCGTTACCCCAAAAAAAAAATCTTAATCCTCTAACGAAAAGAAAGGGATAAGATCCCGAGCCAGCGTTAAAAAGGAAACGAGATTAGCGGTAACAGATCACATTATCCTTGATAACGATAAAACTGTAAATAAACTACTATCCAGGGTGTCGATTTAGTCCTTAAATCACGATTTCAAAACTCGGAGGCCGACGAGAAATTGCGCTAAATCAGCAATAAATCTACGTATTTCCTTTAACGGTACGTACGTCATTTTTCTCATGATAATATCGTTGTTATTATTTCCCACTTTCAGCCGCTGAGCTCGTTATAAATACCCCTCCTCGCTCTCATCGCTCTCAATAAATTCAAGTTGTGTGAGAGAGAGAGAGGAATTGGATTATTTAGGTGCGCTCCCTCTCTTCCTTCTACTTTAATTTTTAGTTTTGTTTAGTGAATTTTGGTGACTCAGCACTTACTGGAGCTGGTCGATCTGATCAATGTGTGTTCTTGATGTAATCTCTAAATATTTTTCGATTTCTTTGTAACTTAGAAGTTGTTAATTACTCTGCGGGAGTTGGTCAATTTTTTTTTTCTTTTAACTCTTTTTCGGGAGAAATTTTTTCAAATTTTTAGTCTATTTTCTGGTTCTTATTCTAGTGAGAATGTAGATCAGTAGATGTAGGTCGATTAGTTTTACGAAATATTAGCGGTTCTGTGGTTGGTCTTCCTCGTTGAATCTAGTATTTTGTTTGCTAGCGCTATTCTGGTTGTTATTCCTGAAAAGGTTTTTTTTTTCTCTTTGTTCATGCTATTTTTTTTTAAAGATTTGATTTTTTAGCTGCTGCTTCATTATTCTGAAATGTGGTTAATTGGTAACTTTTGCCTTCTGATCCAATTCACTATTCACTTATTTTTTTTCCAAACGCCCATAACTTTAGAGATTATAATGAACTAGTTGGAATGAGGATATATCTGAAACAATATGAGAAAATGAAAAGGCAGGAGCTGTGAGTGAATTATTCGAGAATAAAGGAACATTCCCTATTTTAGCAGCAGAAAGTCTTTTTTTGCTATTCCTTGAAAAGAAAATTTGGTTAATTTCCTGTCCTATTTTTAGAATAGCTTATGGAAGGCTGGAGGAGAAATGGAAATATTTGTTTCTCCAGAGATATTCGCAGTGAAAGAAGAAGCTCAAAATGACCATTCTGTCAAAACCTTGAAAATGTTTATATGCTCAATTGAAAAAAAAAATAAGAAGAAGAAGAAATGGAAATATTTTTTTCCTTCAAAAGAATAATAAAAAAAAAAGGTAATGGAAATATTTTTTTCCTCGGCTGAAAGCAAACTCTTACCTTCTCTCTTTAATCCAATATTTTTTGAGTCAACAGTTCGGAAAATGTTCGTTTATTCTTTGGATGAGGATTTTGCTTTTTTTGTGTGCATAGTATGTCTGAAAAGAAACTGGAAATAGATTCCTCGTTCCACTTGGAGAATGTAATCAATCCATAGATATGGACTACTGATTGTCATTTGCTTTTCATGGGTAGTCCAACTAAAATAGCCGATATTATGTCATCATTACACACATCAATTCCTTATCTTCTCTTATAAAAGGTTCCCTTCTAGTGTGAGTTTTTCCTTCTCTTTCACAACAACTTCTGAGAACTATTATGATCTCAAAAATCTAAGAAGTTTTTTGCTTGTTCAGGAGCATGGCGAGCTCTAAAATGCATTTTCTAAGCCTTCTGTTCTTGCTATTATTGGCATCATCTATAGAAGGCAAGTATATGAAGTACAAAGACCCGAAACAACCATTGAACGTTCGGATCAATGACTTGATGAAGCGGATGACCCTTGCTGAAAAGATCGGTCAGATGGCCCAGATTGAACGAAAGGTTGCAAGCTCCAAAGTAATGAAAGATTACTTCATAGGTAATTCATTTATTTACCATATACAACTCTCTATTATCCATGCATTTTGTAGTAGATAAAAGAGGAAAATGAAAAACTCTATGTACTGAATATGTTAACAGGAAGTGTATTGAGCGGCGGGGGGAGTGTGCCTCGTTCTAAGGCAACTCCAAAGGATTGGGTGAATATGGTAAATGAATTCCAGAAGGGCAGTCTTTCGACACGTCTTGGCATTCCAATGATATACGGCATTGATGCAGTTCATGGAAACAACAATGTCTACAAGGCAACAATTTTCCCACATAATATTGGGCTTGGAGCCACAAGGCAAGTTCTTAAACATTGTGATTCTTTCACATTGATAATCACTTAGGATGGGATTCTCCTTTTCACAATAATTTTTTGAAAAACTGACATTCTAGCTTTAAGTTTATGAATTATCAGTGGAACTGTCAGTAAACTTCAAGATTGAATTGTTAGGACAATCTTCAATAAGTAGAATATATAAATTGATAATTTTCGACAGTTGCATAAAAATTATATTTCTGAATGGATAAAGTTTATCCTAGTCTAACTCGAAGTTTTCTCAATCTGTAGAGATCCTGAACTCGTGAAGAAGATTGGAGCTGCAACTGCCCTTGAAGCCAGGGCAACAGGCATCCCATATGCCTTTGCTCCATGTATTGCGGTAAGGAGGAATCCACCAATAGATAGATGGGATTTCTCATAGTTTTTAACATGAGCATTATTGATTTCAGATTAAAGCAATATACATGTTTCTGATTAAATCGGCAATTCAGGTATGCAGAGATCCGAGGTGGGGTCGCTGCTACGAAAGCTACAGTGAAGACCACAGAATTGTTCAAGCAATGACGGAGATTATTCCTGGACTACAGGGAGAACTTCCTGCTAATTTTTCCAAAGGAGCACCATATGTTGCTGGAAGGTAAGCATTTAAAGTTAATCACTTGCTAATAACAAGGCTTTGTTATAATTATTGGCCAGCTGTTTTTTCAAGTTTACATTAAACTAGGCATTAACTTTGTCAGTTAGATAGTAGATGAACATCTCGCGGGAAAAAACAGGGAGTCTTTGTGTCCCTTCTAGTTATATGGCAAACATCATTTTTTGCTAAAATGGTTTCTGAAAGGTTTTCTTCTCATATATTTTTTGTTCACAAGTTACCTCTTTAATTTAGTTGTTCCTATCTATGTTGCATCACTGAGGATTTTATAGAGGGAAAACTTATTCGAAAGAATAATTTTATACAAAAGGAAAGTTCAAGACTAGCTCTAAGAGGTTCAAAACATGATTGGGAAGACTCTAAAAATCTCCAGAGCCCCTAATTACTTTCTGTAAGTAACCTAAACGATTATATCCTCGTGATGCATTTATGTTACCTATCTTTACTAAAGAAACCAAACCAAAATTAGAGTAATTAAACATTTTGCCGTTTACAAATGATCTTTAAATTTTCTTGGTTACGAAAATGTCGTCAGCCACCTATATCTTTTGTGATCATTAAAGAGGTTAAGACTGAACTTAGTTTATTTTGGGTCTTCTCTGTTTCATTAAGATATTTCTAATGAAGCCATTAGGAATACCTAACACATCTTTTCCTCCAAGAAAAAAGAAAAAAAAAGTTAATCGACATGAATATACTAATATCGCAGACTAAACGCAAAAACAAGTTCGGGAATTCAAATTACTATTGGAAATGAATTCCTGTAACCAAGTAATTCAGGTGTGAGTTTCATGCGTACATTACACTGATTATTAAAATACATGCATTTCATTTTTTCCCCCTCATTCCATTTTCATCTTGACAGGGACAAAGTTGCAGCCTGTGCTAAGCATTTCGTTGGTGATGGTGGGACATATTTGGGGATCAATGAGAATAACACAATTATCAATCACCATGGACTTCTTAGCATCCACATGCCAGCTTACTACAACTCCATCCTCAAGGGTGTTGCTACTGTTATGGTGTCCTATTCCAGTTGGAATGGGGACAAAATGCACGCCAATCGTGCTCTTATCACTGGCTTCCTAAAAAATAAACTCAAGTTCAGGGTATGCAGATAAAAGAACTTTTTGTATGTAGTTTTCTCATTTCTACTTGATGCTATCACTAACAATCGTGTTTAATGACTTTTCAGGGCTTTGTTATCTCAGATTGGCAGGGTATTGATAGAATCACCAATCCACCAGGTGAGAATTACACGTACTCAATCCAAGCGGGAGTCAATGCGGGTATTGACATGGTTAGTAGATTTCTACTTGCCGCAATAATGTAAACCTTGTGTTAGGAAGAAAAGAAAAGAAAAACCGTCGTGTTACTAAATTGGTAACTTTTTTTTTAATGTTGCTATGCATTGTAGGTGATGGTTCCCGAAAACTATACAGATTTCATTACTGATCTGACCTCTCTCGTTAAGAAGAAGATTGTCCCTATGAGCAGAATTAATGACGCAGTTAGAAGAATTCTGCGGGTCAAATTTGTCATGGGCCTATTTGAGAACCCCATGGCTGATCTTAGCTTTGCTGACCAATTGGGCAAGAAGGTTATTTCCTCTCTCTGACTCTCACTAACATGTACTCTGTAACTTGAGGAGCAAAGACTTTATGAAAACGTGATCTTTATGAGTCATTTATTTAAACAGGAACACAGGGAATTGGCTAGAGAAGCTGTAAGAAAATCACTTGTGCTACTGAAAAATGGAAAATACCCGAACCAGCCATTGCTGCCTCTCCCTAAGAAGGCTCCAAAGATCCTGGTTGCTGGAAGCCATGCCGATAACTTAGGTTATCAGTGTGGTGGATGGACCATTAAGTGGCAAGGAGCTAGTGGAAACATCACAGCTGGTGAGATTTGTTACACCAACCACCTGTTCTTCATTACTTCGTTTTTACTTTTTCTCAGTACTCAGAAACCGCTTTATTCGTACAATAATTTTAGATGCACCACAATTTTCTATAATAGTTTGACTTACCAGGTTTTGCATCTTCTAATATCATGGATTTTATGTCTCTTCATGCATTTACGTAACATCTAAACTCAGTATAGTTAATCTTTTCGTATATACGTAGCATAACAAAACACTCGGTATATATTGTCAATTGTATATATTGTCAATTGCAGGGACTACAATCCTTGATGCAATCAAATCCACTGTTGACCCCGCAACCGAAGTCATCTATTCTAAGAACCCTGACGCAAACTTAGTCAAAAAAGGTGATTTTTCGTACGCCATTGTTGTGGTTGGAGAGCTCCCATATGCTGAAACTCAAGGAGACAACCTGAACCTCACTCTTCCTTCTCCCGGTCCAAAAACAATCAATACAGTCTGCAGCCATGTCAAGTGTGTTGTGGTACTAATATCGGGTAGACCACTTGTGATCAAGCCATATATCTCATCAATGGATGCTTTGGTTGCTGCTTGGCTCCCTGGATCGGAGGGCAAAGGAGTCACTGATGTTCTCTTCGGTGACTATGGATTCACTGGAAAACTGCCAAGAACTTGGTTTAATACTGTTGATCAATTGCCGATGAATGTTGGTGACGAGTATTATAACCCTCTGTTCCCCTTTGGATTTGGACTGACAACGAAGCCAACAGAAGCCAGGTAGAATGGCATTGAGAATGTATAGAAGATTATTTGGTGTCACATATTTATGGAAGTCACCGTAATTGTACGGTATTTAGATAGGTGACTAATTGATCTCTTGATAGAATGCGATCCTACTGTTGTTTACTTTTTGATTTTTGAAATAATGGAAGTATCGGAATTTTAAAAAAATCTACTTGAACTTCTTGATTGGGAGGATTGAACCTAGGTCTTTTTGTTACAATATTAAAGGACTCTTTCACTATGCCAAAACAACGAAGTTGAAGCGAGTTGAGGATCATAGTTTTATATAACTACCAATTAAATAATAGACTGTTATTAGTATTGTTATGTTATAAACTGACTTGTAAGGTGCAACCAGTAGAAAGACGCCACCTGTCTAGCGAGAAGATCAAAAACAAACTGAACAACCAGACACCACCTCGGGCAGCATGGCTGCTCGTCCTTCACTCGAGTTCGTCGTTGTCAGTTCATCCAAAACCATACCGAGTATCAGGATTCGAGCCATGCTCAACACCTCGTCCATCATGAACCAGACGAGATCACATCTCTTCTAAGTAGGCTGACAAATCCTAACTAATCTAAGTGAAGCGCCGAATGCAATCATCAAGAAAATTCTCTCCATGCCCTCTCGATCAATCATAACGATCTTGACCAATAACAAAGGGACACATGAACAATTTAGTTACAGAGGAAGCTTCCTTATTGCTCACATGGACTGACCAGAGGACACCATGTGGGCTTTTGTCGCTCCCGATATATCCTTTCGAGTTAGTATAAAAAGAGGTAACATTGGTAAGAAAACTAAGTCAATTTCATTATCATTTTGATTAGATTTTCACCTTTTTTTTCAAGTCACTAACTAAAGAATCGAAGGGTCATCGGGACGTTAAGCTTAGGTGTCTTCTAGCAGTTTGCTAGTGATTTCAGGAGGAGCTCCACTTGCAAATCTGCTAATGGATGAATCACAGGAGTCTCTACAAGAACCTTAGTTCTACAACTCCTCACAACAACAACAACAACAACAACAACAAAAAAAAAAAAAAAAACACCCAAAACAAGTATCACCAATAACTTTTACTACTGGAAATAGCATACAAAATCCTCAAAATTAAGCATAGTACTTATACTAAGGACACGTTTTCTTTGGGAGCCAAATATGCAATGTATGTGATCAATTGGAAAGTTTTCCTCGATATCCAATCATACAAGCACGAAAAATGTGTGATCATTTTTTTTTAAATTGATGACTCATTAAGGGAGCTCGTACTTTTATCTCTTGTTACAAATAGTATAGAAAAACATATTGGGGCTGTTTGGTTGTATGTTTTTACCATGTAAAAGGATGTAAAGTGTAAAAAAGTGGGTCCCAATGTTTTTTACCATGTAAAAGGATGTAAAGTGTAAAAAAGTGGGTCCCAATGTCAGCTTTCATCACTTTCAATTGTTTGTTTGTAGTTGTGAAAATAGTGTAAAGTGATTTCATATGCTGATGTGGCTTGTAAAGTGATTTCATAAAAAAAAGACATGATTTTAGGAGAAAGCTAACATTGAAGTTAGGAAAAAATAATAAAAAATAATTCCAACTAATATGATCATTTGAGTTGGGACCACTTTTTACACTTTCCAAACAAACAATTAAAGTTTTATTTTGCAAACCAAACAAGTGTTTTATGATTCCAATGGAATCAAAAACAAACAATGAAAAGTATAAAAGTGAAATTGATGAGGTGGACAACAACTTTTCAAGTTGTGTCATAAATACACAACTTTACCAACAACAACCAAACAGCCCCATTGTAGTTATCATTATCCCAGTAGTAAATGCTTTAGGGGCTGTTTGGTTGTTGTTGGTAAAGTTGTGTATTTATGACACAACTTGGAAAGTTGTTGTCCACCTCATCAATTTTACTTTTATACTTTTCTTTGTTTGTTTTTTATTCCATTAGAATCATAAATTGCTTGTTTGGTTTGCAAATGTAGCTTTAATTGTTTGTTTGGAAAGTGTAAAAAGTGGTCCCTACTCAAATGATCATATTTGTTGGAATTATTTTTTATTAATTTTTCCTGACTTCAATGTCAGCTTTCTTCTAAAATCATGTTTTTTTTATGAAATTACTTTACAAGCCACATCAGCATATGAAATCACTTTACACTATTTTTACAACTACAAACAAACAATTGAAAGTGATGAAAGCTAACATTAGGACCCACTTTTTTACACTTTCCATCCTTTTACATGGTAAAAACATACAACCAAACAGCCCCTTAGCAACTTCCTACCAGCCTCACACAGTCAAAGCCAATCAAATGGCGCCGCGTTAACTAGTCACATGATGGTGTCAACTAAATAACGGCCCCTTTATTGCATTTATCCTCCAACGAAAAGAATGGGATAAGATCATGAGCCAACGTTAAATAAAAAGGAAACGAGATTAATGATAAACAATCACATTATCCATGAAAAATGACGAAGTTGTAAATAAATTACAATCCTTAATCACGATTTTCAAACTTAGAGTCACAAAAAATGCGCTGAATCAACAATAATTTTACACGTTTCCTTTTACTAGTGTAGTGCACACACGTTGCACATGAATATGAGTGTTGTTACCGGGACCCAAAATATGGGACCAAGGGAGAGGACAAGTGAGGTGTCCCCTCCCTATTGCATAATGAGTTGGCACATGTCCCCTCCCTTGGTCCCATATTTTGGGTCCTTAAGTCATTTTCCTATGAAATACTCGTTTTATGTTCTAAATTTATATTTAACTAATAATTTAACAAACTAATAATTTATTAGAATCAACAACTTAAAATTGACAATATTAAATTATTACACTATTAAATTAATATATATAAAACAAACATCATATCATATCACTCTTCATTTTCTTCCATCTAATCTTGTTTTATTTATAAGTATTTTCATTTTTAGTACTCACTATTTACGAAGAATAAATGAGTAAAATAATTTATCAAACTCAAAAAATTGCAACTCTTAATTACAAAGAGTTTTGTCAATTAGTTCATTTCAAAGTAACAAGGAAAAAAATTATTATGTAAGGAGCGCTAAATATGGTCTAATCATGCCAGATAACTTAAATTTCATGCACTATCACGTTATTTCTGCATTTGGTTGCTTCTATAGTTTTTAAGGGGTGACAAAAGATTCTCACTAGAAAAAGTTCAAATATATTTTGATTTTCGAATAGAGAATATCATATAAACATCATAAAGTAGTTGTTTGGGGTTAAGTGAATTTACCCAAGATATCTCTGAAAGGATTTTTTTTTTAAAAAAAAAATTATTAATCACTTGAATCCATATCTTGAATCAGTCCCTCAAATCATTTAAATTCTTCTTAGGTCAACTAATTATCAAGTTATTTTGAACTAGTCCCTCAAATCATTGAAATTGCTATTACGCCTCACAAAAATTCTTAAATGATTTTTGAAATTAGACCATCAATCAAGAGTGGCAGTTAGAGGGTTTACTTTTAATGAACTTGATTATGAAAATTGGGGATCTAATAGCAATGAGAATAATTTTGTGTGTGCATTCATAAAACCTTTTAAAAAAACTGTGATGGAGCTGATGATCAACTTCGGTGCTGCTCTTGAGTCTAATCTTATGTAAACGTTGCCACTGTGTTGTTTGCTGCTCTGGAGACAGTAGATCGCGTTATTGTGTTATTCTTGGCCATCCCTCCAACGTATAATAGTCTCGAATAACCATTGAAAAAAACTCTTCATTCTGAAAAATTAAATTTATTAATATCAAAAATTAAATTCAATGATGAATGGCCTCGTACCGCAAAAAAGTTGTCTCGGATCTGCGGGGTAATAGTCCAATTGCTCGTTTATGATATCATGTTCTTTGCAAGGGGTCTAGTGCAGCGAAAGCATCTAGTTAAGCGAGAGCGTTGATCCACCGTGGCTGATATCTTAGTTACCCTCCAAAAGAACTTTAATTTTATGAGAACAAATTTTTGGTGCTTGTGGTTAAATCTAGAATAAAATAGATAAATCTGTTAGAGAATTAAATTGCTGTATTTTAAACTTTTTTCAAGTTTAGTTGCTGCGCGTTTATGAAACGATGTGCTTAAAACAATATTTGGCCTACTCCGGTGCAAGGATCTCAATGCCAAACTGCTTCCAGGAATAGCAGTACAATACACTGGTGTGCACCAACCAGGTACTGTCAAAATCTCCTCGATCTATCAAACATTTCGGTTTAGACAAAGATCTCATCAATCTATTAAAATCTTTCGGTTCAGGCAAAAGATCTTTCGATCTTAAACAACCTTTCGGTTCAAGCAAAAGATCTTTCGATCTTAAACAACCTTTCGGTTCAGATCTATGTTACTTCGGGCACAGATTAAAGCTTGCACGCTTTCAGATTCTGCAGCAGCAGCAACACAACAACACAAAAGAGATTTTCGTCTCTATTTTTCATATCACTTTTTCATATGACTAAGAGCTCCCCAAGAGGCACTATATATAGGCCTCTAAGACCACCTCAAAGGTCACCCACATTTACTTTGACCGTTACAAATATAATGATAATTATGACAATTATGTTTGTAACAACAAATAACATAAATGTTGTAACTGCTGCATGCAGTAACGTCTGAATGCGAGGGTCGCGATCCTACACAACACGAGGGTCGCGTCCAGCCTCGCGTGAACGCGAGGGTCGTACCCTCATGCGAACGTGAGGCTCGCCCTAGCTGCTAACACGAGGCTCACCAATAGCTCACGAGCCCACGAGCCTACAACCCACGACCTACTAGAACTTATGAGGGATTAATTAAATAAAAATATTAGTAGTTAATAAATATCAGTAGTTCTTTAAGATATCAAAACTTTAACTTTTCGCTACGCTACTAAGGATTTCTAAAAAATACCAGTAGTTAATAAATACATACTTTGAAAACTTATTATTGGAAAGCGGTTTTGACCAAAAATATCCAACAATCCCTCACAAGTTTTTAAACTAGTGTCGTGTAACGGTGTCGTTGTTTCAATCGTTGTGCATAAGGTATATGTCGCAAGGACTTGAATCCCCCTTAGACCAACTGAATAAAAGATAGATGCATGGTATCGCAGAGACTTGAACCATCACATATCTAAAATCTAGCGATCACACAAGATCAAACTCATCTGTGGTAGTTTTTACTTTGAACCACACTTGCCTTTGCCTTGCACATTTATGGGCCTGTGCATGTCCTGGTTTTAACTAGGGCTCTAGGTATCTTTCCACAAGACACAATAGGAGACGGCCAAATCTTCACCCAAGCATAGGTGAGTTCTTTAGGCATATTTCCTATCAAACATCCTGCATCCGAGATGCTTTGAACTCATTAAGGCTTAAAAGCTAACCTCTCTCATGATAGGACTTTAGGTGAGTCCTTTAGGTGTGTTTTCCTTCTAACACCCCGTATCCAAAATACTTTGGACTCATTAAGGCTTAACAGTCATCCTCTTTATATGATAGGATCATCGGTGAGTCCTTTAGGCATGTTACTTATCCAACATCCCGCATCCGAAATGCTTTGGACTCATTAAGACTTAACAGTCATCCTCTTTATCATGATAGTATTTTACTTGCAAATCCTACTTAACTTTTGAACCAATTAATTCATCATTAGTAGCGTAAGCTTAATTTGAACTAATAACTTAATGTAAATAATAAGTATTTGTAAGACTCACCAAGCTTTGTAAATCTCACTTGACTTTTAAACCAATTATCTTATCATTAGTAGCATAAGCTTTGAAGTAATAACTTGATGTACATTGTAAGTATTTATAAGACTCACAAAAATTTAAGACTCATTCCAGCAGACGTCCTTTCCACTATGTCTTTTTTCAGACCCTTAGTCAAAGGATCAACCACATTCTCTGAATACCGAACGTCAATCACAGAGATGACTCCTTAGAAAATGAGTTCTCTCAAATAGCCATGCTTCAGAGGAATAGTCCGCTTCTTTCTATTGAACATCGAGTTCGCTGCCACAACACTCGCCGCTTGATTATCACGATATATAGTAATTGTGCCTTGCAATTCTATCAATGGAATGTCTCGAAAAAAACAACTGAGTCATTCAGCTTCATCTCCTGCAGCACAGAGTGCGAAGAACACAGATTTCATCAATGACTATGCAATCATTGTCTGCTTCTTAGACTTTCACGAGACAGCAGCTCCACCCATGGTGAAGATAAATCCTCCAGTAGATTTGCACTCATCTGGTTCTAAGCACCAGCTCGCATCTGAATAGCCTTCGATATAGCCGGATATCCAGTATAGAATAGGTCCATCCCTATAGTTCCTTTCAAGTATCTCATCAATCTCTGAACAACATCCCAATAAAGCTTTTCAGAATTACTTGTGAACCTACTAAGCATTCCTACAGCGAATGCTATGTCTGGCCTTGTGCAGCTCATCGTGTACATAAGATTCCCAATGATCTTTGAGTACTCAATTTCTTGCAGAGTCAAATTCTAATCAATACGCGAACAATCACCTTGAAATGAGTGGGATATCCTGTGGATAAAATACTTGGAAGCTTGTATCTTAAGCATAAACAATAGAAAGAACTAAATATATTATCAATTTTCCTTTAACCCAAAAAAAAAGAAAAAGAATTGATATACAGTCATTTCTGAGCTCCTACCCGCTAAGCATTCAGAACTGGAACAATGCCTTCCCTTCTCGACTTAAGTAGTTTCACTAGCTTGTATACTCTTCTGGCCTTGCTCATAACTACTCAACTTGTTCTCTCTAACCAACTGAACCCCACATCTTTCTTCAATCCCCTCTCCTCCATAACCTCCCTTAGCTGTACAATCTCTTCCCACATTCCAAGCCCAGCATAGAGATTCGAGAGCTCCATGTATATCCCCGTATTCTGCGGTTCCAAATCAAGAGCTTTTGATGCCGCGATCTTACCCACTTCTACATTGCCACAACTCCTAGAAGCACTAAGGATAGCACCCCACACACTAACACCAAACCTACTCCCATCTTTACCTTCCTTCCTAACAAATTTCCATGCCGAGTCCAACTCCCCAGCCTTACATAGCATATCAACAACACAGCCATAGTGCTCAGGTCCTGGCACCAACGCAAATCCCTTCCTCATCAGCTCAAACAACTCTAACCCTTTAGCTACGTTTCCCGACTTCCCACAAGCTGAGAGGACCACCAAGAACACAACCTCATCGGGCTTGGTCTTCTCGACCAACATATCTTCAAACACTCTTATCACATCCTTGAACATCCCATTACGATTGTAAGCATTCAACAACGAAGTCCACATCACGACATCCCTTCTGACTCCTTTGTGTGGTCCGGACAACACGAACACAAGCCTAGCCTTATCAACGAGGCCACACTTTCCATACATCTCTATCAGAGAACTCAACAAGAAAACATCATCCAGTTTAAGATGTTGTACCCTACGTGCTAAATAACCGTGCAGCTGTACGCCCAATCCGAGAAGAGCGGCTTCGGCGCATATTCTAAGGGCTCCGCATAACGTCATCACACTCGGCTCTAACCCCAGCTTTGGAATTTCGCGGAAGAGTGAGAGCCCGTCCATCAAGCGGTTCCTCTCAATATACCCATTCAGTAGGGAATTCGCGCACACAATATTTCTTACAGGAATTTCGTCGAATACCTTCCGTGCATAATCGACATCCCCGGATTTTGCGTAGAAGCCCACGAGAGCGCCGCAGACGAAGATGTTGCAAAGGTGGCCAGACTTCAACGCGAGCGCATGGATTTGATGACCGGATTTGCCGAGGCTTGGGATCGAAGCGGCGGCGCGGCGGCGGTTACGGGAGCTGCCAGAGTGAGTAGAGAGTCTAAAGGGGAGGCGAGGCGGTGAGGAGGGAGAGGGTTCGGAGGGCGAGAGAGGGAAGGCGCGGACCGAGGAGAGGCGGTTAGTACTGAATTGAGCAGGAAAAATGGTTGGGGGGGTTCGGGAGGGGGACGAGATTGGTTTTGAGGAGGAGAGGGAGGAGGATGGAGTTGAAAGGTTGGGAGCTGGGGAGGGCTAATTGGGCAAGGAGGCGATGGAAGGAATGGAGGTGAGATTTCAATTGGGGGTCGGCCGACATAAATTCAGAACCGTCGGCATGCTATGATTTTGCAGGCCATCTGTTCGAACAAAGGATATGATTCTTTGTTAGTTTTAAAATTGAAGGAGACAGAAATTCTGAGGTGTGAAACACTTTCCTTAAAGAAATATTTGCCCCCACTTGATATTCAAAGTTATTTTGGGTTAATGCAAATTTTCTTCCCAGGATACAACAGAAAAATAAAAATTCCAGTAAGCAAATCTGGAATTTTCCTTAATTCGTTGTGAAACAAGTTTGTAATATTGCAGAAGTTTTTGATAGAAAAGATTCAGAAAAAGAAATGTAAATAGATATCTGAAAACATAAACTATTTATAGTTTTGAAAAGGTGCTTCCAACAGTCACAACTTTTATCTGAAAACATAAACTATTTATAGTTTTGAAAAGGTGCTTCCAACAGTCACAACTTTTCAAAACACCTATTGGAACAAACAGCCACTTTTCAACAGTCACTTGTCTTTTCATAATTTTTAAAATTCAAAATAATATTTTAAAAAAATATATTCAATATATATAAAAAATAGAACATTTAAGCGGCGTCAAAATCGCGCATTATTCGCGCTACCCGCACGCGGGTTTAGAAGCCTACACTTTGATCCATTATTCAAAGCCCAATAAGCATTCAATGCTTTTAAACCTCTAAAAGAATGTTCAAAATTCCAATGTGGGACGATCTTGTTTTTTTTTTACAAACAAATACTAACATTCTTAAATCTCAAATCCAAAGTTCTCAAAAAGCTAGTTTTTAGTACGAGAGAGCGATAGTTAAGCAAGGTGATGAAGTGTATAATACTAGTAATGTGGATGCAGCTTATTATAAGAGGACTCAACGTCATGTTTCAGCATTTGAGTTCTTTCGCTTTCGCTTCGTCTTTAGACGGGTCATTATTCTCTTGTATGTCCTGCTTCTAGGAGTCGGTGCTCACGTAGGAAAGCAAACCACATACTAGATCGGTGTTAAAAGAGTAAAGGTTTGTTTGGATTTGTAGGGGGTGAAGGGAAGCTAAGGGAAACTGAGAGAAGGGAAGGGAAGGGAAGGGAATGGAGTTCCCTTCCCCTTGGTTACACCCCAATTTGGGGTAACAAATTTTATACTATTTGGGGGTGAACCAAGGGGAACTAGGGTGAATTAACTTCACATCCTAAGTGTTCCCAAACAAGGTGAATGGAGGTGAATGGTTCCCCTAACTTCCCTTCACCCTCATTCCCCTCAATCCAAACAAAAGATTGTGGGGCTTTTTTTTCATGTTGGTTCCTTGTATCTTTCATACTCTGAAATTCATCCCTCAAAATGTAATTAGGTCTTTCGATTCTTATAAGTTTTTCCAGATAAGTTCTTCTATTAGTTTTTCTATTAGTTTTTCCATCTAATACACTATCACTGATTAGGTTAGTGATTTATCTTTGATGGTGTTAAAGTAAGAGAGAGAGAGAGTCTTGGGTAAAATTTCCTTGAATTATATATATATATATATATATATATATATATAGGGAGAGGTTCTAATAAAAACCTAGAGAACTAAAAACCAATCCTAACCCTACATTCTATTTCATCCAATGGCCTAGATTTCGATGGCAGAATTATAAATATAGACAAATTTAATACATTGCATTAATGTGAAAAAGGGTAAAATTGAAACAATTCATTGCATTAATGGTGACTGATTACATTGGAACAATGATACAAATTTAATACACGTCCTTTAATACTCTCTCTTACATTAATAGTGCTACATTCTTTAATACTCTCTCTCTCTAACTCACTTCCCGATCTCTGTAAATCTCACATGAAGAACACAACAACGCATTGAATCTGGATTCACTGAAGTGATCTTCAATCCAGATTCACTCCAACGAATTGAATCTGGATTCACTCCAATCGATTTGCTGATCCACTGGATTTGTGAATCATTCTAACCATCCAAGCAGAATAAGAAAATTATGGTAAAAAACAAGCTATACAATTTTATAACATGAAAAATTTTCACCTTTTACAGCAAAACGTTATGATTTTTATGGTAAAAAACAAACACCTCACATAATTGAATCTAGATTCACTCATGCGTTTATTGAAGTAAAAACAAGCTGGATTCACTGCAGTGAATCGAGATTCACTCATGCATTTATAGAACGTGTTTGATGATTTTAAGCAAAAAGTTACAATTTTTACATTAAAACAAACTGGCGGTCAGCGGCGGAGAGGAGAGGGGAAGGGAGATGGCTGCTGGTCGCGACGGCGAAGGCTGGTCGTGGTGGTGGCGAATGGGGCTGACGGCGTTTCAGGAAGGAGGTCGGAGAGGAGGTGAGGCGGTGACTAGGGTCGGAGTTCGCCGGCGGGGGCTCGTCGGGGCTTGGGGTTGACGGTGAACTCAGGCGGCGCGGTCGTCGCTGCTGGTCGGAGCTCGAGCGGGGGTGGGGTTGACGACTCGAGTTGGCGGGTTCGCTGGGAATGGAGCGGAGGAGATGGAGATGGTCGGGTTGGAGGGACAGCGAGGGTGCAGGCGGAACTAGAGGTCGGGTTTGGGAGCTTGGCTTTGCCGGCGTGGAAGCTTGTGTTGATGGCGGACGAGAGAGAGAGAGAGAGATAGCTGGGTAGGAGAGAGAGAAAGTTGGGTTCTTTGGAGGATGACCGAATCCTTCAACTGAAGAGAGGTGTGACTTTTGGGGAACTCAACAGAGAGAGAGAGAGAGAGAGAGAGAGAGAGAGAGAGAGAGAGAGAGTATTAGGTAAATTTCTCTTAAATTGAATATTGAGTGTGTGTATATATATATATATATATATATACAAGTAGAGGAGGGTCAGATTTGTCCTCATAACCAATGTGAGACTAAACCCACTACTAACACAATATTATCAACAACCCCCCCTCAAACTCATGTTGGATCAAACAAAGTGAGTTTGTGTACAACAAACTGGAATCGATAACGGGTAAGACCTTTGTGAAGAAATTTGCAAACTCGTCTGCGGATGAGACATGAGGAAGTAGAATTGTCTTGTCCTTGTTAACTTGTTAACGGACAAAATGAGCGTCGATCTCAATATGTTTGGTCCTCTCATGAAATACTGGATTATTAGCAATCTGGATGACATTTTTATTATCACAATAGAGAGGAGTAGGAGTCGTAATAGAAATACCAAAATCACTGAGAAGACGACGAAGATGAATAATCTCTTTAGCTGTTATGGACATTGCACGATACTCTGCCTCGGTGCTGGAAAGAGTAATAACATCTTGTTTCTTACTCCGTCAGAAAATAAGGGAATCATCAAGAAATATACAATAACCTTTAGTAGACTTCCTGGTAGTGGGATCACCAACCCAATCAGCATCAGAATATGCACAAAGCTCTAACTTGGATATAGCAGGAAACAGAAAAGAGCGATTTCTAGTACCCCGAAGATACCGAAGAATCTATAATAAGACAGCATAGTGTACAGAACGTGGGGCACTAACAAATTGACTGACAATGCTAACAGCATGAGAGATATCTGGTCGAGAGATGCACAGATAGACTAATTGGCCAATAAGATGTCGATATCGGTTAGGATCAGATAGAGGCTCACCATCAGTAGAGCGAAGTTTGACATTATGTTGGAGTGGAGTATCAACAGTTGCATCGTCAGTTAGCTCAGTGCGATCTAGAATGTCTGAGAGATACTTCTGTTGAGACAGTAGCACACCCCGCGGGCCCTGAGAAATTTCTAGACCAAGAAAATAGAGAAGAGATCCAAGATCCATCATGTAGAACTGTTGTTGTAATTGAGATTTTACGAACTGTATACTAGCAGCAGTAGCACCTGTAATGATCATATTATCTACATAAAGGAGTAATAAAACTCTGTCATGCAATGTAGTGCAAACAAACAGATAAGCATCTTGATGACTCTTCATAAAGCCCGCCTTGAGCACGATATCGTGAAAATACTCAAACCAAGCGCGGGGTGCCAGTTTGAGACCATAAACAGCACGACGAAGCAGACATACGTGTCTCGGAGGAATATTGGACCCTAGACACGGTTGCATATATACTGTCTCAGATAAAGAGCTATGGAGAAAAACATTCTTGACATCCATCTGGAATAAGGGCCAACGATGAGCAGCAACAACCACAAGTAGAGTACGAATAGTGGACAACAATTATCGAGGAAGAGCACCAAAAATGTGTTCCTTGTAGTAAAAATAGTATAAGATTTTTAATGTATTTAGTATTACCCATTAGAAATTGAAAAACCGGACAATATATATCTTATCAGAACCGTTCACCTGCGATGAGCTGTTCTGGGCCACTAAATGAGGGGAGTAAATTACCATTTTATCACTCTATTTTATACATTGGAAGGCTCAGAACCATTTTTTATCCGAAACATTGCACCAGTCCCAGAAAAACCCGTAAAGCTTATTAATAAAGATGGTATAAAAAAACCATTAAGAGGCTGTTTGGTTTCCTGTTTTTGAAGAAAATGCTCTCTTGAAAGCCTGTCAAAAGTGCCAAAAGCATCACTTTTTGGCAGGCTTTCAGCCAAAATATTCTTTTTAGAGGCGATTTTGGCTGAAAACCTGCCAAAAAGTGACACTTTTGACACTTTTGGCAGGCTTTTAAGAGAGCATTTCCCTCAAAAACAGGGAACCAAACAACCCCTAACAAGTTGTTTGGATTGAGGGGAATGAGGGTGAAGGGAAGTTAGGGGAACCATTCACCTCCATTCACCTTGTTTGGGAACACTTAGGAGGTGAAGTTAATTCACCCTAGTTCCCCTTGGTTCACCCCCTAATAGTATAAAAATTGTTACCCCCCAAATTGGGGTGTAACCAAGGGGAAGAGAATTCTCTTCACTCAGTTTCCCTTAACTTCCCTTCACCCCTTACAAATCCAAACAGGCCCTAAAAGGTTACAAAAGGGGCATTGGAGGATTGTTCTTTGAATGCATGAGAGAAACGGAATATTTTAGAATTATTACCACACAAAAATATAAGATAAATCATGCCATAGAAGATTCTAAAAATCCTAAAAAAAAATAATGTTGAAGGCTCGGAACTCTCTGCTCGCGTGGCTCTCTGCTCGCATGCCACGCGAATAGATCTAATAGGAATGAGACTCACGGGAAGGGCATGCTTTAACAATTTAAATTAGCAACAAAAATATCACAATGCTCTCCTTGTGGTCAAAGCCTACAAGTCACATTTTCAAGTTCTTACGTCAGACTTAAATTGAATAATGTCTGGCGATTTTTTTTTTTTTAATTAAAGGAAGCAGCCAGCTAGGGACCAAATGCTTACAAAGTCCAAGAACCTTGCAGCCCAAGGGAAGAACTTTCCGAGCGCTATTTGTCCGCTCATTTATTGGCGTGAAATCAATCGAATCAAATTCTATTGCAAAATTCAAATCTCAGCTCTATTAGGATCATCGTGTCAAAGGCCATGGCTTGGTCTCATGATATCTGCAGCAAACTCCCGCTTCTAAAGGGCATCTTCTCATGTATTCCCTGGTTTTCTTCTGATTCATCGGATTACGTTGGGTTCGAAGGCTACGAAGGAGAGCATCCGGCGGAGGTCGCCGGAAACATTGAGGCGCAAAAGCACTTCCGGCAACAAATTCGTTTTTCTTAAGGTCCGTACGTAGAATCTTTGTTGATCAGTTTAAATTCAAATTCATGTTCGTAACGAAATATTTTTAGTTATCTAATCCTTTGCAACTAGGATGGAGAGCTAGAGACCCCGAAGAAGACGGAGAAGAGGATCATATGGATGCGCGTCGCTCAAAAATTAAGATATCGCCAACAGAACCATTCTGCTGATGACTTCTTCATACGAGTTGAATGCTCCTATGTTATATATGGAAATAGTTAATATGAGTGACGACTCATTTCGCTAAATAAGCTATCAATAGACAGACTAGTAGTAAGGTTCATCATGCTAGTCATATAGGAGCAGATGAGCTTTCACCCCTCTTAATTCTTGCTTTTTAGTGTATTACTAGTTGTTCTAATAGCTTATGTTCGGTGAATGTGTTTGTATATTACGATAGATCTAGTAGAGGGGCTATAAGACAAGATTGTCGGAGAAGCATGCCTGGTGAAATACGGGTAGGAACGAAACAATTTGAGTACTAAGGTGTTTGTATTTGCATTTTTCTTTTTTCTTTTTTCTTTTTTTTTTTGAATCTACCAATTCGGATATCATCCCCTTATTTTAATATGTGCTGGTTCGACCGGCTGTGCAGTGCAGGTGAGGCTGCTGGCTAGGCCTTGAAGGTTATGCAGCCCAAGCTTACCCCCAGTGTTCATTAACTCATCATGAGTATTGATTCCCGTAGACGTTGTCACTTATTTCTATAAGATAAAATTGGAAATTTGATCGTATTTATTTGTGAGATCGAGATCTGACCCTCATCGCTAATTCTTCCAATCAAATGAAATTGTTAGGGGGTTGAGGTTTCATGTACTTGGAAATCTATAAGTCCTTTGCATGTTCAAGTACGTGGACATGATAATAATATGCCAGATTTCAGTTGAAGTATTCATGGTTGTATATTGAAAGTTGTTACAATTCAGGCCTCTGTGTAGATAAAAGGCGTTTAATTGGGCATAGTTTTATTATGGACGATGGTGATATGCACTGAAGGGTTTTATGGCAATTCTCAAAGGAACATCTTTTATTGCATCAATTATGAACAATAGGCTAAATTATCATATTGATATATTTTGTTGATCTTAAATATCAATTTGGTATATTTTCTATTGTGGCATAGTTTAGAAAGAGGAACATGGTGACAATAAAGCCTATTTTCTGGCCGGAGCAAAATTTCACCCCATGTGACTCATGACATGCATCTTACGTGGCTTAGTTGGGTTATGTTGAACATTAAGCGGGACCTTCACTAAATGTTACAGGAAAAAATTCCCAAAAACTTTCTCCTTCTCTATTTTCCCTCTATTCTCTGTTCATGTGAGGGAGAGGACGATTCTTCTCCATATTGCACAGATTCCCTAACCCAATTTTAATTGCTCTAATCCAATTATAAACCTAAGAGGAAGAAGAACACTTAATTTAATCCACACCCTTTTAAGACCTGATTTGTGTGTGTGTGGTGTGTGTGTGTGTGTGTGTGTGGGGTGGGGGGGGGCTCACTTTTCAACTCAAATGAATAAGTCCAACTACTTGTCAAGTAAGAAGGCACATCAACATCACATGATGAGTCATGTGACATTTAGTTGCCGGAAATTCCGCTTCGACCAAAAATTAGTCTTTGTTGTCATCGTATCCCATTTTATATGCATTATCATTGCCGTGCTAAGAAAATACATCAAGTTGGTACTTGTATGGTCAAACAGCATATACCATAGCCATGAACAATGTAAGATGGTCTTCGTGCTTTTTGATCCTCTACATCATTTAAAAGAAAAGGCACTATTTTGCAATCTAAACTAAAACATTCTTTTGGTCTTCTCAATATGAAAACGAGCATGGAACTGCATGTAATTCTTTTGCATACCTTGATAAGCACACAAAAGAGAAAGGTGGCTAGCATTATGTTTATAAATTAGTATCATCAGAAAAGAAAGTCACCAAGAACTACGAGAGAAAAAGTATCAGAATTTAATTCAAACTAAAAATTGCATACCTTGTCTGGCAAATAAATATTAGAGAACAAAAAGTAGTAAGTAATTTTACTCACAAGCAAGAAGGTCAATTTCACCCAAAAAAAACACGCAAGCACACACACACGAGTTTAATGTTTGTACACTGGACTCTCCATCATAATTTGCACATTAACTAAAATGTCCTTAAGAGAAATTTTCTTAAATTTTGTAAGTTGTCATTTATAGACAACTTATTCTCTCCATTGGATTTTGAATTTTTTTTCCTCTCAAGAAAATTTACTTTGCATGGAGAGGGCGTGGTGACAGAATTCTAAGGTTTTTGAGATACCCAAAAGTTCAGCGGTTATGTAAAAACTCCCGAAGTTCAGATGGTTTATGTAAAACCCTCTAAAGTTTTGGATTTTTGTGAAATTAATTCTAAGAAAAAGTATGTGCGTATGCGTGTAAAAGTAACTGAATACTGCAATAGTGAAGAGACAAGGATGGTGCTACAGGGACCCAACAATATGGGACCCTACATGGGACAGGTGAGGTGTTGGCTCCCTGTCCCATGATGACCCTACATGGGACAGGTGAGGTGTCGGCTCCCTGTCCCATGATGCACTGTTCATGAACAGTGCATCATGGGACATGGAGCCGACACCTCACCAGTCCCATGTAGGGTCCTATGTTTTTGGGTCCCTAAGATATTTTTCAAGAGACAATGACTCTTAACACTGTGTGCAGACGCACATCAGACAAAGTACGGGATACTAATGATTTGCCCAACAGTTGTCCGTCGACTCAGATTTCCTTACTTTTGAGAAAATTATCTCGTGCGCCTTAAACCGGAACTAATTTGCTTTCAGTCCACATTTCGAAAATACGCTTACAAAGTACATCCCTATTCCGACTTTTGAGAAATGAGTAATGTGACTAATGTGTCATCCACTACTTCCTAAGTGGGTGTTGATAATAGTGTTAGTAGTGAGTTTTTAGTCTCATATTAGTTGTGAGAATACACTTCACCCTCCTCTGCTTGTATAAATATATGTGCACACTCAATATTCAACTTAAGGGAAATTTACCCAAGACTATTTCTTACTTTATCAGTTAGAAAAGCAAAAATTTAAAAATACTATTTATATTACAATAAACATTCTTCTTGATATAGTATAATACAGAATATTAAAGTTACTAATTACAAGTTCTTCCTTTTCCTCCCTTACCCTTCTACTAAAACTCCCGAGGATTCAGATTTTCTTTGGTTAGGTGGTTATTTTCCAATTCTTCTGATCATGCAGCATATTCCGAATTCAATGGACAAGATTATGCGCTATGTAGAATTCCACTATTATGATAGTGGTTTTCAAAGAATGATAGTTTTCGAAAAAATTATGGTTTCTAAGAACATAATGGTTATCAAGTAGCCTAATCTTGTCTTTTGAATCCAGAATGTATGGTAATGATTGAAGAAATTTATGACTCTCTAATTACTATCTAATTGAAGAGGACCCGATCCAACTCGCAAAATAAAATTAAATAAAAAATTCTCTTCCTATATCTTCTCTACCCCCATCCAATCACAGTGTTCTACTTAGACCAACAAACATCATGCACGTATAAAAATGACAGATACACAATCAGCACATGCTTTCCGAAATGGATAATGATACTTTTTCATTTGTTATACGACGGCCAAAACCACGGTCGAGGGATGACTTGTTCATGACAACGGCATCTTCAATATCATAACCAATGTAGCTCATCACGGCAACCGTAGCATTTTTTTTCCTGCTCCAAGCTTATCATAACCCACCTGAAAGAGAAGCATTAGCCCTACCGGGTATACCAATGCACCTCAAATACAACCGATAACACGAACCAGCTCAATTGATTTTGTTGTTAGAAGAGGACGCTGAGGATACACTAGTAGGTAGATTAGACTGTTTGCTCAGAAAAGCTGTAGAAAATTTAAGAAAGATTAGTATTGCTAAAGGGGAAAAGAAAAAAGTTTGGCATCCAAACAAGTAGTTATTAAGTACTTCTGACAAGTTAAACTTTACTCTTGTCAAGGAACTCAACAAAATTACGTCCAATTGCTACTTGCCTGGTTATAAGCAATGTTTCCCATAGCTTGTTTTCCCATCGCACACTGTTCCGATATAAAGACATTAGCTTTGGGCAGAAAATTAAGGTATATTCCCTATGATAAGCGATCCACGTAGCAATTGCCAAAACCTGGTATGTATTACGTGGTGACTGAATGCGATGAGGATAGGGGATCAGTCCAGAGTAAACGGTTCAATCTCCACGAGTTATGCTTTTCTTGTCAACCTCATTCTTTTCTCCATTGAGGTCTTTGTCTTCTCCATTGAGGTCTTTGTCCTGATGCTCGTACAACGATATCTACCGAAATGGATGAAATTTACTGACCACAGCATTGTTCTCTTCATTAACATCGAGATAATCAATCCATCACGTAAAAAATTGTTAAAACAGTGAACTCCATCCTGCAGAAGCATATATAAATGAAGGTTGCAGTTACAAGGGTAAGTCTGCAGCATGCAATCGAAACAAGTAGACAGAAAGTAGAGACCCTCAATTCCTTCATATGATGTTCCTTGATTCTTGAAACCCCCTCATCAGCTATCACAAGTGGGCAACAAACACGGTCTCCATCAGACGGCAACATAAACACAGCGCTTTCAATATCAATAAAAGAAAAAAGAGTGTTAAACATTAAGTTCTAAGAAGCAAATCCAAGATGTAAAGCATGAGGGAGGAAGTCGGTGAGAATAATTAAATATGTGATGAGTACAAGGGAAGAGAAGAAAATATATATATACTCTGTGAAAAGAAACAACTTCAAACTCCAGACACTAATCCTCATACTTATGGCATAAGTAATAGTACCTATATTTGCAACCTGTTACAACCTCAGAATATTGCATCAAACAATTGATGCTAAATTACTGAACGTAACTTCCAGGTTTTCTCAATTTTGCATGACTATCATACAGGCTGAAGCATGCCAAAAAGAGGTATTACTTAAATAACTTAATTGCATCACAAAATCACTAGATCTCTCGAATAACTCAGTTGTAATGATCTGTTTGAATACCATCATAACTTGATCCTTTTCCAACAAAATGAATGGTTTATCTGAATGTATTTAGTGAATTCTTTAATTTTCAGCATAGCAAATTATAGCTAAATTCTGACATGATTTCAGAAATAGTTTTCTACATTTAGTCATTTCTTCTCACATAAGTAATTAAAGACCAAAAACAATGAGGCAAAGGTAAAGTTTAAAGTATAAACCGCAATGAGCCACAACTAAATTTTACTAGATTACAGAAAAAGTTTCTATCACTATTTAAACACTTACTTCTCACACAGCAAAGATCCCAAAAGTAATGGAGCACAATTAGGAGTGGAAAACAAGTCGGATCGGGTCAATTTTGACCCAACCTGTATAAGCTTTACCCGATTAAATGTGTTATGATAATTCACCCGTTTATTCAATGAGTTACCGGACTTGAACTGAACGAACCAAATGACCCATTTGAATTGTAAAATGAAAATGTTGACTTTCCAAAAACAAGTAAGCATACATTTGAAATGTTCCAACTGGAATGCACTGGGCTATGATAAATGTTGCACTTCTGTTGTAGCTAAGTTGCATGGGTATGGGTACGGGACATGGCAAATTTGTAAAAGGAAAGGTATGGGGACATGGCTATAAATATGCATTTTATGTATATTTATATGTATTAAAATTAACAATTTACATAAGATCAATATTGATTTTTCATTTACATGAGATCAATATATTAGAAATAGATGTGTGGTGTATAAGGAGTGTTTTAAATTATAGTATATAACTAAGCATATGCTTGAACAAACGTATGCAAATATCCAAGCCAAGAAGTTTGGGTATTGGTACATGTCGAGTACCAGTACAGTTTCCAAACAGAAGTACTCAGGTAACATAGTATTGTAGTAGATTACTCTTCAGTGGAGCATAACGCAAATTTATAGCATATAATATGTAGTCCAATTAGCACTTACCAAAATGATAACAGCGATAACACAAATAAAAGAGATTAAGAACCATATTCTACTCAACAGGGACTGAACCTCAAAAAAAATGTCATGCTTTGGTCTTAAAGCATTTTTGACAAGCGGTAAAAGTCGCTTATAAGCCACTTTGAGATATTTGACAAGTAGCTTATTTTATCTTATAATCCACCAAAAAAACTGAGATACCCAACTTATTTTTTTGGTGGATTATAATCCAGAAGGTTTGACCATATAAAAGATAATGCAAAACCCCGCCCCCTTCTCATCATTTCACAAAATTCGAAGCCCCAATTTCTTCCCTACCCATTAAGCTTAAATTTAGAACGATGTCCCTTTTAGGCATTTTGACAACAATGATGGATTATAATCCACTCATTGCCAAACACTACTATTGAAAGTAGATTATAACCTGCTAAATTTAACGAACAAGTGGATTATAATCCAACGTTCCCAAACATGCTCTTAAGCACCTACTACTCACACAATAACTAACAAATCTTTGTTATCGAACAGAAAAAACTTCATATTCACACATGGAATTAAAGTTTACCCATAACAAAACTCTAATCACTAAAAACAGCAGAAAATAAGCAAACCTATTATATTTCGAGCCTCCCAATGTATAATACTATAATTCCAAGAACCCACAAAGAAATTCAGACAACGACCCTAAATTTGACGTAAGTCTATACCACTTTGTAAGAGAAGCAACATCTTCTTCTAATAGGAACCAAAGAGAAAAAAGCTCTAATGGGCATAACTTATGAGAATATAAGAAATCAGTCAATTTTAAGCCCGAACAGACCATGAACTCCAGAGGCCATGGCCATGGCCACTGAGAGAAGCCCAAAGATCAATTGCAGCAATAAATTTTGTGCTATTGTTCGACACTGCATCCTACTGCAGTGATTACCGATCGCAATTTTTCGTTGAGCTTTCTCAACGATTCGAATCAAAGAAGCTCCTTTAAGTTCCTCCGGAGAAAACAAAGGGAAAATGAAATGAAAGGGACAACATAGGGGAAAGAATCACTCTTAGGGCCTGTTTGTTTCAGGCTTTTATAGAATAGGATTAGGAATTGGGTTCTGACAGTGGCATTTTCGTAAATTATGGATTCTTTGTGAATCCTATTCTGGAGTTTGGTTCAGCAAAATTTTTTGGGATTACATCTTCTACACAGTAGCTACAGTTGTCCTTTTTTTTAGAAACCCAAATCCGAGCATTTGCTTCCGATTTGGGCGAGATTTCTGACACTTGAGCTTCCCCGTCGATTCTGATTCCTGGCTTCACGCTTTCGATCCCTAGATCTGGAATCGCTCTGCCGCTCCCGCCTCAATCGCCCTCTTCCTTGCGCCTCTGCTCCCGCGCTTCTTCGTCTACGATGATACTTGGGGTCGGGCCTCTTTCTCGAAACCCTAGCTCTTGATTTCCACGAGATTGTTGCTGGTTTTCTTGCCTTCGATTCTTGGTGATCCCTTCTGGTTGGGATCTTCTTCAACTTGGGTTGGGATCTTCTTGATTTCCACGAGCTTGAACGTCGGCATTTTCCCCTCTGCAGTAAGGTATAAAAATTTCCCCCTTTTACTTTGTCCATTTTTTCCAGTGATTTGAAAAATTAAATTTAATTTTGAAGCATATGAGAAATAGAGGCACACACACAGCAATTTCAATGATTTGTTCGATTAATTTCATAATATTACAGCAAAATAATTCATGCGGGTCTCTGTGTAGTGGATTTTTTGTAAATTTGCAAGAATTAGGTTGTTAGGTACATTAATTTCATGCGGATATCCGATTTGGGCGAGATTAATTTCATAATATGTTTCAAATCAGTATTTTAAGAACTTAAATTGCTGTTTTTTTTAACTTTATTTAATTTTTTTGTGTGCGTGTAAATTATTAGTGATCTAACCATATAGTTTGTAGATTGCAGTCGCAATAAACTTCATAATTAGCATGGCACCCTTCTGATATCATCCTGCAGCAAATTGAAGAGCTTGGGAATTTTTCTTGGGTTGAAAAATGAGAAAGATGGGATTATATGTGAGGCCTCAAGGTGTATTTATAGACACCATACCCCTTGTACTAGCCGTTGCTACAGTGATAACTATAAACAACCGTTGCTACAGTGCTTGATGCTTGCAATTTCTGATTCCTGGGCTTATTACCGTTGCTACAGTGTTTATTTTGCTGGAAATAAGCAATTGGGGGCTTAAATAGCCGTTGCTACAGTGGTTGATGCAAGAAAATCTGTTTTTTTGGGGGTTATTTCCGTTGCTACAGTGACGATCCCAAAAAAATTTGACTCATTGAACCAAACTTGGTATTAGGAATTGGAACAATTCTATAAAAGTGGATTACTAATCCTTTGGGTGAAACAAACATTAAAAGCCAAAAAAAGTGGGATTCCATAAATCTCAAACTTGTCTATAAAATTTTTATGGATTAGGTTGGAATCCATAAATTAAATAGGATTCCTAATCCTATTCCTAGTCCTTGGTGAACCAAACAGGCCCTTAGGTTACCCATTTATGGGACTAAACGGTTCATTAAATCGGTTACACGCTAAAAGTTGCATGGGTACGGGCACGGTTCCTAGGATGGGTACTCTAAATATGTATTTTAGCTATATCTATATGTATTAAAATTAATAATTTATATAAGATCAATATTATTTTATTTACTTGAGATCAATATATCAAAAATAAATGTAAAGTGTAGCATATGCACATCCAAGAAGTGTATGAGTGTTTTAAATTAAAACATGTAGTATATAATTGAGTATATGCTTGAACAAGAGCATGCATATATTCAAGAAGCGTCCAAGAAGTTTGGGTAAAGGTACGGACGGGTATGGGTAAACGTTGGGTAGGGGTATGGCTTCCAAATAGAAGTACCCAGGTAGCATAGGATAAACGTGTCATTTAGGATTGAACTGAATTAACCCGATTAATAGACGGGTAGTTCAGGTATATGACTCCTAATATAGCTTGACCCATATAAGTATAACGGGCCGGGTGAAGTCCAACTGGTTACAATTAATCTTTGACAACCACCACAAACCTGACTTCTTGTAGTGCTATAAGCCTATTAGTCTGAATAATTAAGCAGATTTTACAGTTCCATTTTGCCATGGTATTTTAAAAATGATTGTTTATTATACGAACAAATATTAACAAGACTCATCTCTGTGAACCGATTTGTTACAAACTCAAACGGTACATTACGACGTTCAACCTGCATATGTAAAATGCCATGAAATCTGAAGGCCATATTTGGATTGGGTAGTAGTTGATTTGTCCCTGGACTAATTTAACTCACTATAGTCCTGGGATATTATAATCCAACAGACTTCAGTGAGTTAAATTTTGAATTATTGGTTTGGTTCAATTTGTTATTAACATCTCAAATGCCAATGTCAAGTTTGGGAATGTGTCATTCTAAGGCGGTATAGGTTTAGGATATAATAGCAATGTCCACAATATCAATGTACCTACTAGGCTAGTCTGAATGAATTTTGATAAGAGTTTCAATGTATTTTGGATATACGACTTACACATACACATGTCAATAGGGCTGAATGTGTCATTCTAAGGCGGTATAGGTTTAGGATATAATAGCAATGTCCACAATATCAATGTACCTACTAGGCTAGTCTGAATGAATTTTGATAAGAGTTTCAATGTATTTTGGATATACGACTTACACATACACATGTCAATAGGGCTG